TTTCTCACCTTCAGTCCTAACTGATAGTAGAGTTTTCCCCACTAATTGGGATGTTGCAGTTAATCTTTCCACCATATAATGGAGGTGAATGAGTATTTAGACACTTGGCAGCTTTGGGTAAATCTGATATATCTTTTATTAGACCAACTAAATAGTTGGGGGGAAAAAATTCTTAGCAAACTTTTGGGTTTAAAAACTCTTTGTCAGGCTGAGGAAAATTTTTTCCAACTATTTAGTTGGCCTAATGAAACATATCAGATTTACCCAAAGCTGCCTATGTCCTTAGACCAACATGTCTATAACCTACACCCATGTATTTAGGCGCTTGGTATTTCTTTCCCATTCTTTCAGTAGACAAATATCAGCTAGACGAGTTAGTTATCTGTCCTGACTCCTTTGACTAGAGCTTCTCTAAGGGTGCACACAGACTTTCTGGCATATTAAGGGGAGGGTAGATCAAGTTAAAATGACCAGCTGATCTAAAGTAAGTCAGAATAGGAGGGCTAGCAGGGTGGGGCATCAGGGGAAGCAAGCAGGTTCTGGGGCGATTAGGGTTGCAGGCAGGGTCTGCAGAGGTATCAGGTGGATTCTATGAGCGGTATCAGGGGGAGAGGCAATCAGGGTCCAGGAGGGTTTGGCAGGATCAGGGGGCTTACCAGGGAGGATGGGGGGCTCTCTTTTTTTAGCCCCCCAACATCCTCACCCTCAGATTAACACCCCCCCACCTCTGGCTAGCCAACCCCCTCATGCCTCCTGCACCTCTCCTCAACACCTCAATTTACTTTCTTGTCTTACTGGATTGGGGGGGAGGGGCTGGCTAGTCTGTGGGGGTCTTGACTATCTGAAGGGGGAGGAAGGAGTTGGGAGGGGTAAAAAAAATAGCCTGGTGCCAGGCCAGTGAGTAGGAAAAGCACAACCCCAAGGGTAGGGCCAGCAGCCCGGCTTTTCCAGCCCTGGGAACTTTACAAAAGTTATTAGATCTTTCTCACCAGCCCTGATCTAAGTTAGACTTCCTCAGAGGTATCGTTAACTTAGATCAGGACAGCCATTTTTCAACTGATCTAACCTTCCTGAACTCCTGTCCAGTTCATACTTAGATCCACCTAACTAGGAATCTAGTGTATGGTTTGCACCTGAATGAACTAAATTAGATCAGATGGCCAATTTAATACAGTCTAATCTCCCTGAACATCTGTATGCACCCTAAGTTCTTAATATGCTATTTGGACTATCAAACCACAATGACTTGTACAACATGGGTCATTTATTTTTTTTTAAATCTGTGTTGTCTGTCCTGTGCTTTGCTCAATCCCTTCCAAAAAGAAAAATTCAAAGCAGAAAATGTACAAAATCATGTAGCTATCCTAGTAAGCCTCTCATTAATACTTTACTTTGATGCATTCTTTCTTTCCTCATTGTGTATATGTCTGGTTAAGGCCTGATCCTGCAAACCTTTTTGCTAGTGTTTTCATCTTGGACAAGAAGTCCTATTGATTGTAACAGCAACCTTGTTTAAATAAATGGTTTTATGAAGTGTGCCTTGAGTTGCAAGTCCTTTGGAGCAGAGATTTTCTGTGAAATCTTGAATCAAATGAAGTTAAAAGAATATTTTTTCCTGTGGCCTGTGTTTCCCAATTTGTCTTTGTACTTGGCTAGAAATGGTTTATGTTGTTATGGAAAGCACAGTAATCAAAATAAACAAAAAGCAGCTCCTAGAATTTGCTACATACTGTTATTTGTATTTAAAGCTAAAACAAGAAACAATAAAACAACATGAACATGAAGTAGCTAATTTCAGGTTATAATGGTATTAGTGCAAAACGATTGAAATTGTTTAATTCTTTAAAATATATTAATTTATGCTAAATCTTATTTGTGTTGAATCAAAATAAAGTTCAGTTTGCAAGTTTTATTCCAATAATATGGACTTGAAACATCAGAATTACAAACTAAACATAGCACTTCTGAGAGTCTTTCTTTTTTCTCTTTCTTTAAATAGATAATGAAGATAGAAAAGGAAACATTCACTTTCACCATAGGTTACATGTTCTACTGTTTAAAATTACATGTGCAAAGCTTATTGCATTTTTGAAACAATGAAGCTAGTTTATATATCTTAATTCTATTATTGACATTTTAAAAGGAGTTACTCCACAATTACCCCTTATCACAGAAGTTTACAGCATATTGGGTCAGATTCTGATCCACTGACTTGCATCTGATAACATCTTATAACAAAAGTATATTGATGTAACTAGTTGTGGAGAAAGGGATATTCAGTGCAAATGAGATGATCCAAATTCGGCTCTCTATCATTTGTAAAATTTCAATTTCTAGCTTTGATTCCTTTCTCCAGGACGACTAAAATTTCTGTTAAAACCTTTATTTAAAAATGTATCTTTAGCGTTCCGCCATAAAACGTAAATAGAAGTTAAACCAAATCTTAGTACATGTAGTGTTTTAGGTACATATGGCCAAGAGGCACAGAATAGACATTGATATTTTTGATGTACATTGTGATACTATTCAGAATGTGTTACATGCACCTCAAATATGATTCCCAAATGCTGCTCCACCCAGGCTTTATTAATTGCTATTTTTTTAGTTATTAAACAAAAATTCAGGAGGAATTTGAAGGGGTGTAGTGTTTTGCTGGGACACCTCAAGAAGTCATTCTTTAAGATGGAGATAGTATGTGCTGTCTTCTCATCAGGATGCTGTGAACGTTAGTTCCAAAGAGGATGTAGCTAGATTGTTTTCAGTCATGGCAGATGACAGACCAAGGAGGAATGGTCTCAAGTTGCAGCAAGGGAGGTTTAGGTTGAATATTAGGAAAAATTTTCTCACTAGGAGGGTGGTGAAGCACTATAACAAGTTACCTAGAGAAGTGGTGGAATCTCCATCTTTGGAGATTTTAAGGCCTGGCTTTACAAAGCCCTGGCTGCAATGATCTATTTGGGGATAGTCTTGCTTTGAGCAATGGGTTAGACTAGATGACCTCCTGAGGTCCCTTCCAACCCTAATTGTCTAGGATTCTATAAGCATGTGGATATTGTAGTGATAAAGACTATATTAAAACCCATATATAATAGTTTTGTGTTGAGCCAAGACTTTGAATACTTCAGTAAATAAGACTTGTGTCACAAATTGAACAAAACTAAAGCAAATACTGAATAGTTGCTTTTTAAATGAGCACTGCCCATCCTGTGCACTGAATGTTTCAAAAGAAAAAATAGTATACAGGAAACCCTCGCTACTCACAGGTTCGGCATTCACAGTTTCAAATATTCACAAATGCCAGACCCACATCTTAAATGCACCTACAGTAGGTCCCCAGGAGCCCCAGGCTTGGTGTTGCTCCACTTCCTCTGCTGCTGCCATGCTTCTGCCATCTCCAGCACAGCCGCGCCCCCTCTCCCAGCCACTGGGGCACTACATTCATGAATGCAGTGCCGTATTCACGGATTTTGCCATTTATGGGATCTCAAGAGCATATTCCCCACGAATGGCAAGGGTCGCCTGCATGTTCCTGTACTGAAAGACTGTAACATGATGCAAATGGATTCAATGGCTGAATTAAATGTATAAACAGGAATTTCATAACTTTTGAGTACTTAATTTGGCAAACGTAGCCTTTTTTCTGTGTAGTTTTTAACGACTAAAATTTTATTGGAACTGTATTTGATAATACATAGATTTTTCAATTTGAATGTAAAGTATTTTTAAAGTGTGTTTCTGTTGGTGTCTGCTGTATTATAAAAAATATTTTAGATTATTGTATTCTGAAGGTTAAACTTCAGTAAAGCAGAAGTATATCTATTTTTTGGATGATGTATTTATTTATTTAAAAACTTTTTCAGTATAATTTACCCACTCACAGATGACGTGTGATCCGTTTAACAGAATAAAATTCTAACTCAAATCTTTTTTGTAAGAAATGCCCTAAGCTAAAGTTCATCTAGTTTGCACTAAATTCTTCTCAGCAGTAGGAAATGGTTCTGCTGTGACCAGTAAAGATGATTAAGAAAAAATCCAGCCTTCTACTGGGGTTTAAAAAAAGTACAATTGCAAGTTTTTATATTCAGTTGAATGTCTTAATTAAATTGTACTGCTACTATGCATCAGATTCTGCAGTTTGCTGACTTTATCAAATCTTTTTTTTTCAAGATGTTAACTTGAGACTTCACTTTAGTGTTCTTTCTCTGTAATGCCACTGATTTAATCTTATTCATCTTATTCCATAAAACAAAAAGTTCAAATTTTTTTTTTTTAATTTTTACTTTTTCTACAACTTAAAAGCAATCTACAATGAAAAATCTTAAATATAAATTTAAATAGGTTTTTGAAACCTATTTTGTTTTAGTGGCAAACTTTTAAAAAATTATACTTTTAAGTTCATGTGTTTGGCCCAGATTTTTATACGCTTGTGAAATATTTATTACTGGGGATGAAATAAATGAAGCAAAGACTGCATTAGGCAGATATGATTACAAAACTGGGGCCTTAAACTGCTGTTTTGTTCTAGAATTACAGCGGTCTTGAAATTTTTATTGGATTTAATATGATAAATAATCAGCTGATCGATACCCAGCAAAACTTCTACATTTTGTTTTTTAAACAAGTTAATACATTTCTTTAGCAGAAATTATTGTAAAATAGGCATAGAAATGAAATTTAATGTTAAATTAAACTTCCATTGAAGATGGAGCATATGGTTGTCATCAAGCTGGGCTTGAGGCAAGTGGTCAATTTTATAGTGTTTCATAGTGGATAGATACCAAAGGATAAATTCAGAAAAGTCAGGAAATGGCCTGAAAAGAAGGTTATACATAAATAAACACCCAAGTCCTAGCTACAGAACAGTTTGTAAATGCCTATGGCAGAGGTGAAATCATAATTAGTTTGGGACATTGGTTTTAGGTCTTTTTGAATGTCTTATAAATATATTTAGGGATACATTGTATAAATCATGTTTCAGCATATTTAAATTTTTTTTTCAGTCTGAACCAGAAGGTTTTTCGCACTTCCACTTGTATGTGTGTGCCGCCTTCCTTGTCAGATGGAGGAAAGAGATTCTTGAAGAAAAGGACTTCCAAGTAAGTAAAGATTTTTCTTTCTGTGTTACAGAAACCTGGAATGTTTTTCCAGCAGGGGAAGTGTTTATTAAATTAAGTTCAGCGTTTCTTGTGGATGAATTTGGCAAAGCAGGGGCAGTTGCACTGATTGATAATATCTGAATGTTTGAAAGACTACCTGTAAAGCTGTTGGACTTGAAGCTATTTGCCTGTAAACAGTAGATGTATGTTTTCTGTGGCCAGGTACAGACATTACACTTTTACCAGTAAAAGTGATTGGAAACTGTTTTATACCCATAACAGAACAGAAGTTTAGCACAAAAAACTGATCTATACCCGTAATAGAACAGAAGTTCAGCACATACAGACTTGTTTAAAAATGGTGGAACCCAGTCTAAGATTTACCCCCTTTCTCCCTTCTTCCCCCCACACCAAAGGGTGAATGTGCGTTCTGTTCACTACCAATATAAACTACACTGCTTACAGAAAAGTGTGTAACTTAGATCAATTCCATCTCAGACTTTTTGAATGTCTGTACCTAGCATTTGTGCATTCTGAGGGGAAAAAATATTTCAACTGAGGCAATCACCAAGGAAAAGATTTCTGAAGAAGCAGTGCTTTGGAATTTCGCAGCAAGGTTTTCTGAAAAAAGTGACTGAGGATTAAAAGGTTCTGTGTTTTTTATCTGAAAATGCAATACTGATGTTACTCACTTTATTATAATTTAACATTTGTATGATACCAGAAGTATGCACAGTCCTTGTTATTTTTTTTATTTATTCTAGTTGCTCTTTTACGTTTCTATTTCTCTTGCTATAAGCCACCCTGAGCCTCTGTTGGAGAGGGTGGTATATGAATTTCATAAAAATGCATACATATTTCTGCTTATTAAATACAGACATACATTAACAAGCATAGGTCCCTAAATTCCTATTTAGGCAACTGTAATAAATAGCGTCCTTGAAAAAATAGGCCATGAAGGCACAATTTTATAGCTAACTATACACTATAGGGTAAGGACATACCTACATCTGAAAATGTAAGCTCCAATTTGTGCAATAAGTTTACAACTTAAATTGAGCACTGTATTAGGTGTGGAGTAGGGAGAGGCATAACATAGAACAGCATTTCCCAACCAGTGTGCCACAGCACATTGCTGTGCCATCAGGCACGTGCAGGTGGCCACGGCATTTGGGGCTGGAGCCACACCCCCCACCTGCTGCTGCTGCGGACACAGGCAGATGAAGAGCATGGCTCCAGCCAGGCACCAGGCATGGCT